ACGCCATAGTAAACACGTTTTTTATATTTTTTTTTCACCGCAGTACTTTGGCAGATTTCACAGATAAATCCACTCGTGTTTTTAAGTTTTTCAAAAGATTAAAATATTTTTTTTCTTATACAAATAGAAGTCCTTTACTATTTTTCATTTTACGAACATAAAAGAAAAGGGCAGCTGGGTCGCTTGACCATATAGTTCGCGATACTGAATTTTAAAACGTTTTATCCATTGGCAGTCAAACAAATATTAAATTTTTTGCGTTTCTCTAATGAACACCAATCTTTTTATTCTTCTGTATATTATAAGCAATTAAACTATTATATTAATGATTAAAGCCATTATTGATATAATTAATTCATACATGAAATTGATTAATGTTATATTTCAACCTGAACCAAGAAATTATATCCTACTGGTGGATCTACAATAATGATGAATTCCTATTTTTCTTGAACATTTTTTAGATTGCTCAAGTGCTTAAAAGTTGCATTTCGGTAAATAATTTGTGGTTGATAATAGATGGTCGTTGTTTCAAGTATAAATAGAAAAATATTTTTACAAAAATTTCCAAGAATAAGAAAAATTGTGGTTTCGTGTTTATTTAAAAAGTAAAATATTAAAATGTTTCATCATAAATTATTATATTATGCATGATATCTAAGTGTAATTTGTATCTCTGGCTATATTTATCCTAAATATAAAAAGTTGTACCTTTAGAAATAATTTATTATCTAAAAATGTTCAGTGTTAAAGCACAATTTTAAAATCGCCAAAACAAATAAAACGTTGTCGGTGTAAAATTTATTTTAAGACTTTAGTACTTCAGGTTTTATTTGTGTTTATTGTTTTTTATATAACAGACATTTTTTTATTGTTATTAAGAATAGGGCAAATGAAAGACGTATCTAAACTATACATGGTACAGCTTTGTTATTCGGTGAGGGTGTTATTACAACTTTTAATGGGATTCTTGTTCCAACCTTGTTTCTCCCTATGTTTGTATGGACTAGAACTCAAGTTAATATCGGCGACGAGCGGTGGATAAACTCCGGTCCGAACTTCGGGCTTCTAAAAACTTTTGTGCTGATGACTGCATGTTGAAAGTCGCTGTCGACGCCGTTTATTGCCGCCAGACTGAAAATATCCACTTAATTTCAGCAGCTCCCCCTTCTCTCTTCTTTCTTTTTCGAGTAAGAGCCCTATTTTTCCGGAAACAGTGCGGATTTATGTTTATTTTTGTTGTTGCTTGTTAATAGGTACAATATGTTGCACTCGGTTCAGATTTTTCTGACATTTTTTTCCCGATTCACCCGTGTATTAAAAAAAAGGAACATTAGTCATTGTGTTAATATTATTAAATGGAGAAATATTTTATTTTTACTTAAAAGTTCAAGCCAAATTCTAAAGACGTCAACATTAATAAATAACTAGTAGGGACTATTTATCATATACTAATTGTTTCGCGCATTGATGGATTGAAATAAACATTTTATTTTCGATTAATTTATTTTTAAGTCTTAAATCTCGTCTGAGATTGATTGTGTAGTTGATCCATGAAAATATTTATACCTACTATTTATTTTGATTAATTGTTTTATTTTTAATTATTTAATATTTGTTAATAAATTATATATTCAATAAAAATCACATTCTGTACATATATTATCTTTTTGTTTCCACATAAGATAGATAATTTTTTTATTAATGAATACTCTACTGTGAATGAATTGTGATATGATAAATTAACTAGTTACAACAGTTTAAAGATGACAGTTGTGATTTATTATCAAATTTTAAATTTTATAGTTTATTTTAAATAATAGTTATAAAATAAAATACGTAAAAATTCTAAAGGAAAAATATAAATTTTTTTATACAATTACTCTATTTTATATTGTATACATTTATTGACTGTTATTTTAAAATTTCCAGTTATCAGTATATGAAAAATAAATGTTCTACGTTGCATGATAAACAAAGATAGTTATAATAAATCAAGTCATTATTTGTTTGCCAAATAAAATGCGAGTTCAATTTAGGTTTATTATAAAATATGATGCATTATATAATATAATTACATTAAAACAAAATATGTATTTTTTTGAATATTCTGAGATTGAACTTATTGCAATCTGTTATAGTTCATTATAATTATTACAATTATTATAAAAAACATTTGAAGTGAAATTCTTTTTTAACTGATGGTATATTATTTTATCTGTTATTATGTATTTTTATATTGATAATTATATTATTGATACCTAAGTTATATTTATATTGGGTTAGTTATAACTAAATCAAAAGTATTTTATATCATATATATCTATATCGTAAATTGTGTACCTAATATAATTAATTACGGTCTAATTTTTGTATGTTTTTAGTTTCAATATTAAAATTATAAAATGCATTATATAATTCATAAGTTATACAGTTTCAAATATAAAATACTTTTAATTTAACCGTTATTACTTAAATTTTGCTGAGTAAAATAATCTTAAAAAACCAACAGGGTAATAATCTGTTAATACAATTATGCATTCAGCTTTTAACATAAATTAAATTTAAGTATTAATTTGTTAAAATATTTTTATATAAATATGAGAATATTTTTGAGTTATGTAATTTAGTTTATTCGGTTATAATTGAAAAATTTGTTTCTATCACTATATATTTTAAGATGAGACGACCTTATAGTTTTGTCTGTTGTTATAAAATAACATTTAGTTTATTTTATTGAAAAACTAGAAATGGTTTCAAAATACAAATGGCCCTGTGTTTATATTGATATCATTATTTTGTCGTAACATTTGAAACAGCGATGCAAAATGTTGACTTATAATGATGTATTTTACCTTTTTCCCGGTTAAACGTGAATATAAATAAAACAATATCAACGACAAAAGTTTCTTAGCCACGACATGTTCACTGACTAGCGCTGGTTGTGTATAAGAAAACATAACCGCAGGGGTGGCAATTTTTACTGCGAATAATCATTTGAGCTTTTGAACTTTTTATCTCCTTGTTCGCCTTGGTTTTGCCGCATGAAAAATTGACGTCTTGGCAGAACATTATAAACGGAAATTTTTCACATAGATGTCAGGTCCCCGGGTGGAAAGTCATTTTTTCCCATTCTTACAGCAGCGGCACGACAACGACGTATCTTTCCCTTCTGTCAGCCAACCATTTCTGCTGTCGAGGAATAATAATCGTAACCCTCTTACCTTCCTCTTATGCCTACGAATATAATAACCGGATATACCCTCGGAATGATCTTTCCTGGTTACTAGGAGATAGTGCGCTATATTCTCAGCAGGGATTATACGATGACGTTAAGTCTAAAGTATTGACAGACGGACAGACGTGTGCTATTGCTGCTAAGGATTATACCTATAAACTTTGCCACTGCAATATTTATAAAGTTTACATAACTGAAAAGTTGAATAAATCTTCTAAAATATTTTTTTTCAAACAATGTTCAGTAACAGTATAGAAGGTAATATTTTTGAACTTATACTATTATTGGATTTTAGTGAAAATTTGTTACTCATATACACCCTCACATTTTATGAATGCGCTTTTTATTATATATAGGCGAGTTTCTTGTACTAAATCTTATTATGTGCATTTATGATATTGTTTTTACATATTGTATGTGGGTGTGTGTGTGTGTACTTACAAGGTAGGCTATTGTGGATTCTTATTTTCCGGTATTAGCTATACCAAAACGTAGTATTCTACGTTGTTTATGTTGGTTTGATATTTCATGAAAGGTGTTTCCCACAGGATTACTAAACAATATCAAACGTGATATTTTATGCTCTATTTATTTTTTTCCACTTTTTCTTGTTTACTTCATATATATTAATACACTGTATATAGTTGCAATATGTTTGTATATTTTATAAATATTTCTTTGCATAATGTATTGTATAACTTGTATCAAAAATGTTCATCTTGCATCTCATAGGCTATTTTCTCAGTCTTTCAAGTTAAATGTTTTATTGAAATAAATATGTTCAATACACATACATATAAAATACTACAAATTCATATTTATATTCATATGCATTTGTAAAAGGTTTAAATATTACGATGAGTAAGTAATGTATTTGTTTTCATTTATAAAATAAACGTTAGTTATCTCGAATGTGAATTGTTATATAGTTATGTAATGTTTTTCTCATCAATCACGTATGTTAATTAATATATATATATTATATATTATTAACAATGGAATTTTATTTTTTAAAGATCGTGATAACTATAGCTTTATAATATTTATAAAACAAAATAATTCTAAAAAATCTTATTAAGAGGTATAATTAGGTAAAAAATTAATTTTCAGATTTTAAAGAAAATTAGTTTAATTTGTGACCATACAAAGCGGTACACTGAAACTTAATATTTTTTGCTTTATTATTTATTTCTTATTTATTTCGTATTTCACTCATATAAAAGACCTAATTTTAATGTATTATATGTATTTGATTTAGATAAATATAGTATACATTGTATAATCAGTTTATATTGTGGTTCAATTCGGACAAAATGGTCCCTATGTTCTCGTAAATCATTAGAAAAAACAATTAAATCAGTATTGTCTCGAGTACTAACAAGCTAATAAATCGATCTTGATACTTCTTTGTTTTATTATATCAACTTAATTTTTTCTGTTGTCAGTCCAGAAAATTATGATTTTTATAACAAAATTTGACAGTTAAAAGAATCACCCTCTAATACCCTAGAAGAAATGCAGAAAAATAAATATTGCGCGGAAAATTGAGAACCCTTGAGTTTACGGTAATATTGGAAATTTCTATCCAGTTCATTTAATACTAATTTATACTAATATGTATATGTCGTAAGAAGAGAGCAAATTTATCTACGCCTCCCCATTTATATCCCTCTTCTAAGAAAACATTTAACATTCACCCTCGGCCCGCAGTGACGGTTATTTTTAATGACTTTTTCATACATTTTTTTTTTTTTTTTTACAGAATGGCGAACGAGGTTATTTGGAAGGTTTAGCATCTCGATACGCGGATTTGTATAACACCCACTATCGAGACATTTTGGAGTACCTGGACGAACTTAGGGCCGCCGAGTGGGCTGAATTATCACCTCGGATCACTTTACTAGCACCTTCGTCGCCATCCCGGTCGCCATGCAACCTGGGCGGAAATCTATACTCTCATCACTTGTATGCGCCCGGAAAATATTCTGTGAGTATATTTGAGTATATTTAAAAAAATCATAATTTTTATTATCCTATTAAACATTAAATACTTCATATTTGCTGTTTTAAATGCAGAGGTTTTTACAATTTTACTAGTACACATATAGAACTAATAAATTCTATCTTTATATGAACGAAAATGTAATCATCGAACATATGTTATTGTGTATGCTATTGAAGCATTTAATAAATCATAGCCGGCTTATGTTAAAATACATTTGCAAATAAAAGTAAAATTGTTTTATTGTAAGCGTACATAAACGTATCAGTAACTAGCGACAATTTCAATCAGTCGTTCTAGGTTCCTTTGAATGCAGTTGTTGTTAAGTGAGTGGGATCCCTTAGGGATTAGACAGATGTTCAAAGGAATTGAGAAAACAGTAGCGCACGTAGAGTAAGGTAAGACGGGCGAGAGAGAGAAAGAGGAATGATGAGGGTAAGGGTAACTTCAGCTTTTATATTCAGTGTTGATTGAGAAACTTGTCTATTCCGGCGATGATGTACGTACGTGTTACGAAAATCTATGTAACGGTGAGGTTTTTATACTTATTTTTTATTTTTATGTATTTTATTTTTTACAGCCGTCTAGCTGTTTGAGTGATCGCGAAGAAGACGAAATTTACGGGCTTACAACCGCTGAACGACGATTCTCACCGGCCACTACTGTAGTCCGACCACCCGTACACTTAACTAATGCTATCAGACAGCACGCTGTGCAACAACCGTAAGTATATATTTTATAAACTTTAAATATATCTACTATTATAATTTTTAATCACAACATTCAATCTACATCTACTATTACTCAAAAAATATAATTCTGTTTATACTGTATTTAAATACTTACTTAGTGTATATTTTATGTTATATATGACAAAGGTTTAAAGCATAGAATTCCTTGTTTTACACGTTGATCATGATTACAATATTGCAAACAAATAGCGATATGTACGAAAACTATACATGATTTACATTACAATATTTTTATTTTTATTTTTTTTGTACAAAGTATCACCTCAGGCACTGTATCTTTTGAATATAGTTTCTGCGTTTGTTCATCAATTTAGTAACCTTAGGGATATTGAACGTTTAATTTAGAGCTTCAAACTTGTTTTATCTTTTGAGTCCTATAACGCGCTCACCCGTATAAAAAACAAAAAAAATCTTCCGGAAATCAAATATGGCATATATCGTAATTGAGTGAGTTAATCGTTAATCGTTAAAATGTAGATATACTCGTATTAGTGTATCATAATAATTGTATATTTTAAAAATGTTGAAATAAGTTGAATAGTATTTATAACAATTAAACCCAATACCTATTATCTAATTTTAATAATATTGACTAAGTTGTTAAATTTTTAGTTCAATAACTAATTATACAGTTAATTAAATAGTAATAGATTACACAATAAACTGAAAGATATACAAAGTTAGTTTTATTGAATTATTTGAAATATTTTTAAAATTTATTTATTCTTTTAATGAAACAGTTAATTATTTTTATTATATTTTATAAATTAAATAATAACACATTTAGTTTATTATTTATAGGTACATATTTATTATTTGGATGACTATTTTCTTTAAATATTTCTACTCATCTGTTTTGGACTTTTTCATTCCAATTTCAATTTAGTATGAGTCAGTTCATGAATAATGTAGAATTTTGTTATTGAATTGGTGAAATTATAGAAAATTATATATTCTTCTTTATGAAACGCCCAATATTCATTATAATTGTGTGCTGTATAGTGTTTATTGTAAAATATTAATGAGTTAAAACGTATAATGAAACTAGTTGGTTGAAAAACAATATTTGTAATTTTGATGTAGTTCAGTCAACTTAATTTAAAATGTAAGCCTACTTAATACGAGTATTTTTTTATCAAATTATATTTTTAGCTTTAGATATTGTAGAATATATACTTTTTAGAAACTAATTGCTGACTTTATTAATTACGAGCAATAATTAAAATAATTTTATTTTTGGTAAATTTGTGTATTTATTAATATCTAGAAACTTATTTTTGTCTTCTATATATTGCCTTCACAATCATGTCGATACAACCTTTAGATATTAAACATAATTAGAGCGATTCTACATTAAGACTTGATATAATTTATGCAAAGTATACATTTGTCTGGTAAATTTGTTCTACGAGGTGTAATAAACAGATTTAGAACATTTTGATTCAGAGTTGCGCCTGTGGTTACCAATATTATAGTGCTTTTGATACGGGATTTGCATAATGAGCAATGTTAGTGGACAGGAGGAAATTATTGGTGGGTGTTTATTGTAGAAGGGATTGTGCCAACGCTGGTAGGCAAACACGAATTATATGGTTGATTTATTGGGGGAGTGATACAGGAACGTGTGGTGGAAAGCTCCCGGATTACCTGACGATAATCAAAGTCCGAGCTTCATTACTGCTGCACCCTCCTTCCCTATCAATACATTTAAGCCTTTCAGACACGTTCGGCAAACAATCACATGAAAAACGTCAAAATATAAATGGTTTAAGCTGCACTCTTGGTCGTGTAGTACTGGTAAAATGTGTACGGTGTGATGTAGGGACTACAGCAAGTAATTTTATTCGTAGTAATATGATAAAAACAAAATATTATTAAATATTATTTTTCAAAATTTAAATACAATTTTCCACTTGGTCACAATGATATATTATTATTATGAACATATTTGGTTTCGCTAGCTCGGAGAATTGGGTCATGGAATTAACGTCTATATACAGTGTGAAATTGCACAGCTTGTTGCAAATGTTGTGCAAAATGATATATTTGGGAAACTGATGCAGCAATGAGGCCAACAACTCACACACTGCAAGATTATGATGTCTTAGAGGATATCCTGTCAACATTTATAATCATTTACTCTACCTTATTATATACTAGGTATATAGTACATTATATAAAAATACTTATTGGATTATGCCTTATATTCCATTTGGACGTTTTTAGTTATCTGTATACAATTATAATGCAGTCTATGTGTATAGTTAATTTTCATTTATTTTTATGACAAACTCTTAAATATTTATTACACAGAAATTCGAAATCGATTATATTCCTGTTATTATCCTTTGTTTGTTTTTAAAAAAAAATTTATATATTTTTCGATCGATTATGTTCCCACACAAATGAAACTTACTTCCTATATTATTTTTTTTAATCCCTTTTCTCTTGATTATTTCACGTTTTAAACGTTTGTTGGTAGATATGTAATTTACTTATCTTTATTAGCCATGTATTGTAACATTTTTAAAACTTTATAGTTATAATAATATTTAAAACATATTTTACTAAGGAAATGTAATTAAAATATTAAGATATTCTAGCAAAAATTATTCTTCCTTGTATTTTATTTAAATAGAAAGAAGATAGAAATGTTGCTGTGGTTTTAACAATTTTAAATTATGAAAATACATGATTTGATCGATTTTACTCTCACATAAATTGTATTCGTAATTTTAAGTTATCATAATGTTTCGTACAACTCCGCTGCTTAAAATTGTTATAGTATGATGACAATATTTCAATTATTTACCAAAATATATCTATTATATAAAAATGGTACCAAAAATATATAACAATTCATCAATTGAGAACGGCTAGCCCAATTTGGCTCAAATTTTTTTTTTAATCGTTCGTAATTGCCAAGAGAAGGTTTTTTGTTAAAAAAAAAATTTGGAAAAACCCTTTTTTTAAAACTTTTTAAATTTTTTTTAAACTTTTTTTTGATGATTGATATTTTGAGTTCCGGAATGTTTTTTCGAATCGAAAAAGCTACAACAAGTTTTAGCTTATAAAATTATCTATATAACATAATTAATCGTTAAAATGGGGCTCCCGGCCAACACCAAAAAAATGGATCAACATGGAGAAATATGTCGTGTATTGAATATTAGGTATTAATATTATGTTTCACTAGGTATATAAAGTTAAGTTTAAATTTTGTAAAGTGATAATTTTCAGATCGTTTTTATTCCGTTCGATTTTATTTATACGAGTTGTAAATAGCCTTTCCTTACACAGAACGCAATAGTCGATAGTAGAAATAAAATTTAGGTTTTATCTATATGAAATATGATTATTCAATTATTACGATTTCATTTTCCATTTTCCGTTGTTGGCCCGACATCTTTCAATTTCCTGCGTACTGTGAATGGTTTGCTGTGCGTCACTTTTCGGGAGGCTTGCCAACGTTTTAATTTATTCGAAAACGATACACATTGGAACTCAACATTCGCCGATGCAACTGTTTCTGCTTCAGCGAATCAAATTCGTATGTTGTTTGTTATCATTATAGCCACATGTCATCCATCGAACCCTACTGCATTGTGGGAGAAATACAAAGATGAGATGGCTGACGATATTTTGCACAGAGTTTACACGACAACTTTGAATTTTGATCTTGAAATTAACGACGAGATGCGTAACGAAGCATTAGTTCTGATTGAAGACATGTGCGTGCTCATGTATGACAGTCTGTTGTTAACATTGGGATTGCCAGCGCCAAATCGTTTGACGCACGATGCATTTAATCGTGAATTGTAGCGGGAGAAATTCTATGATCTAGACCATCTGGCTGAGAGTCCGAACAAATGTGCCGCTGTTGAATGCCGAGCAGAAAAATGTATATGATTCGCTGATGAAGGTTGTTGATGATGGAACGGGAGGTATTTACTTTTTCGATGCTCCTGGTGGACAGGCAAAACGTTCGTAATTTCGTTGATTCTGGCAACAATTCGGTCAAGATCTCAAATTGCATTGGCTTTTGCATCCTCTGGCATTGCTGCCGCATTGATGGAAGGCTGTCAAACTGCACATTCCGCTTTGAAGCTACAATGAATCTTCTCACGGTTGACAATCCTACGTGCACAACGACCAAGAATTCAGCGATAGTGAAATTGATGTGAGAAAGCAAAATCCTCATTTGGGATGAATGCACGATGGCGCATAAACTAGCTTTGGAGGCAGTTGACCGAACGATGAAGGATTTATGAGATGATTCGAGACGATTTGGTGGTGCAACGATATTGCTCTCCGGAGATTTTCGTCAAACATTTCTCGTCCTCTCGAAATCTACTGCTGCCGATGTACTTAATGCATGCCTGAAATCGTCATTTTTGTGGCGGCATATCAAGAAGTTGAAATTGACCACGAACATGAGAGTTGCGTTGCAGAACCACCCATGGGTGCTGAATTCTCGAGACAAGTGCTGGCGCTTGGCAATGGCCAAATTCTGGTTGATATTTCGACTGGATTAATATCGTTCCCGGAAAATTTTTGTGAGTTCACATCGTCGAAGGAGAAATTCATTACAAAAGTGTCCCAAAGCATTGAAAACAATTATAAATGTCTTGATTGGATAAGTGAAAGGGCAATACTAGCAGCGAAGAATAAGGACGTCGATAGCTTGGATTATATTATTCGAAGTAAAATCGCTAGATAGAGAATTGCGTTCGTACAAATTCGTTGACAGCGTGACCGACGAAAATAAAGCGACCAACTATCCGACGGAATTTTTGAACTCGCTTGATGTGCCAGGAACTCCGCCGCATAATTTACAGCTAAAGGTGGGATCGATCATTATTATGTTGCGGAATCTAAATCATCCTAAATTGTTTAATGGTACGCGATTTTCCGTCAAGAAACTGATGAACAATGTTATACAAGCAACAATCATCAAAGACAAATTAAAAG